TGAATCCGTAAAATCAAAGAGGGGGAAAACGTGTAAGCTGATACGGGGGGGGGGGGAGTAAAAAAATAAAAAATAAAAAATAAACCGTCCCCGGGAAGGCTCGAACTTCCAACCTCTCGATCGCCGGGTTGAACCCATAACAGTCGAACGCGCTAACCAATTGCGCCACGGAGACTTGTTTGATGCTGAATAAGCTAGCCAACACAAATTTTCCCACGCGGAAATAGGTCTGCCAACATTCGTCGTCTTGGGGGAGGGAGGAAATTGGTAAAGGGGTATAGAGGTGAGCGGATGAGCCGTTGATCGATCTGGCTTTGTGGTGCCATTACTTCCTTTTTTGATTTGGCTGTTTTGGTGTATGGGAAATGAACGGCAGCACATGTATCGAAATCTTCGAAATCCTGTAACGAGAAAAGTTTAACCACCCTTTTCTTCCTTCTAGACCTTCATCGACGACGACTAGTATGGCCAGGCAGGAAAACTGAAGCATATGACGCATGAATTGAACGGGGATTCCCACATGTTGAACAAGCACCTGCAGAGGATCCTGCATCCCAGAGATCTCCCCATGTAGAAACTAACAATAGTAGCCACTGGTTTTTTTTCACCAGTGTGTCTCAACTCTTGAGTCAGGTTCGGTTCGATGCAGGCATGCCAAATCTAGAGTCAGTGCTGATAATATCCAGATCTTCAGTAATGAGAAGTATCAGGTTAAAGTGAATTTATCTCCCGCGACCTACCGTCTAGCGGATCAGGAGAGGACATGCCAACTGCCCAATGAAGGCAATCTTGCTTCGCTCTCCTCCTCCACCGATATGTTTCTCCTTGTTCGCAACAATGAACCCACTCTTCCAAGGGATACTTAGAATTGGCTAGTAAAGAGGCAGCAAGGAGTGCACAGAGAGTTCGGAATAGACAAGAATTTGACCAGATCCTGGCTGCTCCATCTTGCATCATCATGTCTGCTAACACGCCCAGCTTGATGTAAGTTGCTCGTAGTCGTATTGAGCCTGTATATGCGAGTTAGAAATGGGCAAAACGCAGTCCGGAAGAGCACTTACCAAGGAAGCATGCCAGTTGCCTATGGCTACTCTGCCATTCTGTATACGCTTAAGTTCGCGACTTGTTATCAGCGCGGTTTTCTAAGGTCAACGAGACATATTGATTTGGCGTGTAAGACGCGTTGGCGGGTGATCATTTTGTTGGAGCGGTTAAACGCGTTGTCAATCCCGGGGCGATTGGCATATTTCTTGAGTAGAGACGGAATGAGTATTGGTATAGGTTATCTTGAGGTTGTATCGATGTCGAGTTGAGCCCTGATGGGACGCGAGTAGGCGCGTCGAATTAACTGGTAGGGGCACTAGACAACATAGAGCACTGGGAATAATCATGTCTTCCAATAAGAGGTCTCCGTGGCGCAATTGGTTAGCGCGTTCGACTGTTAATCGAGAGGTTGGAAGTTCGAGCCTTCCCGGGGACGTTTATTCTTTTTCTTTTTTCTTTTTTTTTCCCAGCAGGAAAATCCATTTTTGCTATCTCTATTTCTTTCCGTCTGTTATTTGTTCCTTCCCTCCGTTATTTTTGTCTATTTCTCGGACTAGTATCTGTATGGTTTTTGTAGCTACTTTTTCCCCAAAGCGCAGTTGGTTTACATGCCTCTTTACTCCTGCGGAGACTAATAATGTGCTCGTCTGGAAATATATATATGGAGCCTGAGGGGCGTATCTGGTTTTTCACCTTTCACATCCAAATCCCGCGTGAACTACGCTGCACATGCCTTGTTCCGGCCCTCCTACCCTCCCGTGAGAGGGTAACATGCATTCCTATGCCCCCTGGTTGTTGGTCTGAATCCTAGTCTCTCTTCTCAAGTTAGAGTGCATCACTCAACTTCAGTTCAGTATGACGATACCTTTGCCATGGATGGCTGTACTCATCAATACGACCCCAGTGCCCGGTCGAATGGCTTCGCATATGGCTGAAAAGCAGAGTGAAAGTTGCATCTCTGACAGACACCAAATCAACAGAGCAGCGAGTTCTGCCCAGAGAATGCATATTACTATATTTGCTGCCATATTTGAGCCTAGAAGACTACCTACAGTAGTTAACTAAGGACAAGAAGTTTCGTTCAGAAACTACAATCTACTGCAAATGGGTCTCTACATCACACTCACAAACATCCTCAATCATCAGCTTCCCTGGCTGTTTACGCCGGCACTCCAGCCAATTCTTCCCATGAAATCAGTCCTTGCTCTTGCACTGGCATCTTGGACTCGTGTTGCTCGCTCTATCCGTATCTTCTAGTATCTCCTCAATGCATCTCGAAGCCACTGATCGCCGCCTGCAAAATGCTCACTGGAGAACACGCTGCAGCATCCTCGATTGCCTGGCAGAATCCCTGGCACTTGTCCGGGAACATGGCATGTGCCGCATCACTGATGAGTGCGATACGCTCGGGAACCCAGCAGGAATAGGGCCAGTGGATATATACATAGCTGCCACATCTTGATATCTGCTGGGTGGAAGAATAAAGTCTTGACTCGGGGTCAGGCGTGGAGAAGGTGTTCAACAAGATGCCGGGGAGTGGCGGAGATATTCCAGCCGTTATTCGTCAAGCCGCTGTATGCAGTGATGGATAGTCCATCAGCCCCTGAAAAACACTGGAACAGAGCAGGATAAACCCACGGATAGAAGCAATAACATGACAGGAGATTCCTGCCGTGACATGCTCTCATGACTGTCTTATCGATCCCATACCCTCCCCAGAACTGGATTATTTCGTTGCTAACGAAGTCTTCTAGTCCAAGTTCTGGAAGCTTTTCTGCACTGACGATACAACGATACCAGCAGGATGTTGAACCCCCAACTTCAGGGGCAATGTCAAAGTCAGAATGTATTCTTGATCATTGCAGCCGGTGGGATTAGACCAAGTCTGCAGTAACAGTGACTCTGTTTTTGAAAACCACGGTGCCATTATCCGGCTTAACGTCTATTACATAGCGGTTTGTCCTCAGTTCGCAAGGGGTACTGATACCCTCCACACGCATTGCTGTATGGAGGAGCGTTTCTGCATATCTTTCCACTTGAACGCATAATAGTCTGTATTTCACATATGTCAATTCAGAATTACTCTTCAAGTCATACAACCCCCCAGAACAACAACCGCACCACCCATAAATCATCTGGCGTAAGCAAATGATCAGAACCTCTCCTTACACTACCTCCCCCCTCAAGTTCTAAAACCAAAATCCCCAAGAGGTCCATATACATACCTACAGTCTTAACCACCTACCTATGGCAAACACCCCTTTTTTGAAGTTCAACATCTAAAAGACAAACTCTACGCTAACCACCCCCTTCCCCTCGCCAACCCTAACCTAATCCACCCGCCCCTATGCGACGCAGGTGGATCCCGCCCACCCCACCAGCACCAGCACCAAAAAATAAAGGAAAAAAAAAAGAATTCGCGAAAAAAAGAAATATCAGTTAAATCAGACGTCCCCGGGAAGGCTCGAACTTCCAACCTCTCGATTAACAGTCGAACGCGCTAACCAATTGCGCCACGGAGACTGGTTGATTGGTTTGCCTCCCGCGGCGGGGTGGTTTTCTTTCTATTTCTTCGGATAGGTGTGTCTGAGTCTGTTTCTTGTTTCTTGTCCTATGTAAGCATAGTGGGCTAAACGGCGCGGAATATGTTGGCTTTATTTACTCCCATAATAAATTTCTTGCTGGAATGAGAAGAAGTACATAGATAGCTTGCTAAGTGGGTTAGGAGAAGCCTCTGGCCAATAATTCTAGAGTTGCCATCACACTGAAATAAAAATACAGGGATATCTTGATATATCGGACACATGAATAGTTCAGGCCATATCATACACAACATTCTCCCGATATGACGAATCAATCAATCAGAATCCTCACCCGAGTCCACGTCGACCTTCTTCTTCCTCCCACCCTTCTTCGGCCCCCCTTTCCCACTAGCCTTCCCATTCGTCGCCCCAAACATATCCCGCAAATCCCTCTGCTTTGACTCTTTCTCCTGCTTCTTATCGAACATCCCCTGATGCTTTTCCCGTTCCTCCCTCCCCCGTTCCGACAGCTCAGCCTCCAGCGCCAAAAACTCCTCACTCTCCACGTCCATCCCAATCAGTGACTCAAGCAGTTTGATCTCCTTGGCCCAGACCGATTTGTCTTCGACCATGACTGGTTTGCCCGGTTTGGTTTTCTTCGGCGTCTTTTTATTAGCGCTGGGGTTCTTGGTTGCTGGTTTCGAGTGATCCTCCTTGCACACTCCGTATTCATCATCCGGTTGTCCCGTTGCCGCCTCGGTCTCAGATTTCGCGGGGCGGTCAATTGGAGTCTCGAGAATCATGGGAAGCCCTTCTAATCTCTTCTCATTCATGACATTATGGAAGGCCCGTAGACCCAAAAACCCCGTGCCAATATTGGCGTGCAGGTCCCGTCGGCTGCCTAGTGGGGTTTTCGAGTCGTTAAGATGTAGTGCGCGAAGGTGCTTTAGGCCAATCTCTTCGTCAAATTCTTTCATGAATTTGTTCCACCCCTCGGGGCTGCGTAGGTCGTAGCCTGCGGCGAAACTGTGGCAGGTATCTACACAGATACCGACGCGGGGATGGTGGACTTCGGGAATGAGAGATAGCAGGGTGCGGAAGTGTGAGAGGGAGCCGCCAATTGTGGTCCCGTGGCCGCACATCGTCTCTAGGGCGGGAATGACGGTTTTTGTGGCTTTGAGGGCGTCGACGAGGGCCTTGGCGAGGCGGGAGAGGGAGGAGTCCAGGGTTGTTTGGAGAGTGGCGCCGGGGCTAGTTGGGTTGTAAGTGTTAGTCTTGATACGATATTTCTTGAAGGGAAAATGAAGAGCGAAAAATAAACCACAAATCTGATATTGGAAAGGCAACATACTGGAAATTATATAGCGTAATCCCTAGTTCGTCACAGCGTTTCAAGTCGTCTAAAAAGGATGTGTATGCTTGCTTCGCTTTGGCTGGGTCTTCCTGCGCAAGGTTTACGAGGTACGAGCCGTGTGGGAGGACGTGTCTAGAGCTGAATTTAGCATGTATTCCCCCCTGAGAACCGTAGGGGTTTCATTTCTTGGATTTCCTACTTCGAAGCATCGTAGCCGTGATCAGAGCATAGTTTCCTAAACTGGTCGCGGTGATC